GGTGCGTGGGCCTCCTCACTTGAGGCCTGGGGCCTCTGCCTGTCTCAGGCTCAGCTCGGTGAGCACTGGCTTCCAGTGCCCCATTCTCTTCTCAGCTTCACTTCTTTTTAAAAAAGATTTATTTATTTGAAGGGTAGAGTCAGAGACAGAGGGAGAGAGAGAGAGACCTTCCATCCACTGGTTCACTCCTCAGATGGCCACAGCTTGGCCAGCGAAGCCAGGATCTGAAACTCCATCTTGGTCTCCCACCTGGGCATGTCCCACTGCTGTCCCGGGCCCGTGAGCAGGGAGCTGGGTTGGAAGCGGAGCAGCTGGGACGGGGACCGGTGTTCTGATACCATAGCCATAGGCAGTGGCTTAAGCTGGGGCCCCACGCACTGGCCCCTGCACTGCACTTACTGTGGGCGCTGTCGTGCTGCCACTCTGTATGCCGACTGGCCGTGCGTTTGCTGCCTCTCTGTGCCCTGGTTTTCGTCTTCCCTGCGGCCCTGTCCCCTGGCTTCCGAGTCCGTGCTCCTGCAGGCCTCCTCCTGCTCGTCCTTTTCATCTGTGGTCCCTCTGCCTTGTCCTCTGCTTCCCGCTGACGTTCTTTCTCCTTCCTGTCATCCTAACAGCAGCTGCAGCGTCCTGCAGAGGTCCCTCACAGCCACGTACTGACAGTGCACCCACCCTGGAGGCGCCTCCTCCTGGGCCCCTGGCGTGCCCACCGCAGCCAGGCCAGCACATCGTCTCTCGAGGCCTCTCTGAGCCCCACTGTCCACCTGTGGTCGCCAGACGTGTCGGCTCTCTCCCTGCCTTTGCCAGCTGCCTGCTGCCTCCGCTTGCCGTGTCTGTGTGGCTTTCCTGAGGCAAAGCTTGGAAACCTTTTATCAGAAGTCTCTGTGCTGCCTCCACGGTCCTGTCTTGTTTCCTACTCCCTTCCTGTCACTCTGCTGCTGTCCATGGCCCTTCGTGCTGGCCGCACTGGTGCCTGCTGGCTTCTGTGCCCCCCTGTGCTCTGTCCTGTTGCACATTGCTAATTTATCTGTTTGGAGTACCCAGTCTCCCTCCACCTCTGTGGAACTAAGTTCTGCATGTTCTTTAAAGCTCAGCTCAGAAACCTTCTATCTTGGTCCCCAAAGTAGAGAATGTCTCAAGCCACAGACCCCACGGCACGTTACTGTGCACTGCTGTGGCACAGTCACCTCAGAGTGACCTTGCCTGCCCCTCAGGACGATGGCATTTTGATCTGCTTGTGACGCTGGTGTCCCCTCTCAGAGTGCTGGTTGAGGTCCCAGTCCAGCTTCCTCTATTGTGCTTCCTGGGAAAGCAACACAAGGTGGCCCAAGTCCTTGGGCCCCTGCCACCCACGTGGGAGACCTGGATGGAGTTCCTGACTCCTGACTTTGGCCTGGCCCAGCCCTGGCTGCTGTAGGCATTTAGAGAATGAACCAGTGGATGGAAGATCTTTCTCTCCCTCTTATTCTCTGCCTCTCCCTCTCTGTCCTTCCTTTCAAATAAATAAATAAATAAATCTCTGGGACTATAGCTTTTTATTTCTAATTGTTTATTGCAAACAAGGAACGCAGCATGATGCTTTGGCATACGTATGCATCATGCAGTGGTTACTACCGACAGATGAGTGTGTCTGTCTCCCCATGTGGGTGCTCTCAGCAAATTCCCAGTATCTAATCCAGTACCAGAAGCATATTCATCGATCCATGCACTGGGTCTCGAGACTTGTTCATTCTGTTTGGCTGTAACTTGGTGCCCTTTGACCAGCACCCCTCCCTGCCCCAGTGCCGACCACCGCCATTCTGCTCTCTGTGTCTTTGTATTCAGTTCTGTGAGCGTCCACTGGTTAGTGGGGTCATTTCATTTAGGATAATATCCTCTAGATTCATTCATGTTGTAGCAAGTGGTGGGATCGCCCTTTTTAGTTCCGAATAATATCTCTGTAGGTAGGTAGATCAATAGGAAGAAAATCGTAATTAAAAAAAAAAAGATTTATTTGAAAGCATTACAGAGAGAGGTAGAGACAGAGAGAGAGAGAAAGAGAGAGAGAAAGGTCTTCCATCCGCTGGTTCACTCCCAAGATGGCTGCAATGGACAGAGCTGCGCTGATCTGAAGCCAGGAGCCAGGAGCTTCTTCCAGGTCTCCCACGTGGGTGCAGGGGCCCAAGGAGTTGGGTCATCTTCTACTGCTTTCCCAGGCCACAGCAGAGAGCTGAATCAGAAGAGGGGAAGCCAAGACTCGAACTGGCGCCCATATGGGATGCTGGTGCTTCAGGCCAGGGCGTTAACCCGCTGCACCACAGCGCCAGCCCCAATTTCTTTCCTTTCTTTCTTTTTTTTTTTTTTTTAAGTTTTATTTACTTATTTGAGAGGTAGAGTTAAAAACGGAGAGGCAGAGACAGAGAGAAAGGTCTTCCATCCACTGGTTCGCTCCCCAAATGGCCACAGCAGCCGGAGCTGGGCCGTCTGAAGCCAGGAGCTGCTTCTCAGTGTGGGGTGCAGGTGCTGCAGGCGGAGGCTTAGCCCAGTGCACCACAGTGCTGGTCCCTCCACAGTTCCTTTATTCATTCACTTGTTGATGGATGTTTAGGTTGGTTCCATATTTGGGCTGTTGTGAGTAATGCGCAGATATCTTATGTAGCACTGGTTCCTGATATACCCAGCGAAGGGACTGCTGGGAATAGGTTCTATTTTTAATTTTTTGAGGAACCTCTCTGCTGTTTTCTGTAATGGCTATACCAGTGTGTTCCCACCAGCAGTGAACAGGGGCTCTCTTTTCTCTACATTCTCACCAACACTTGTTATCTCTTCTCTTTGCTAATGGCCACCATGATGGATAGGTAGTGATCTGGAGCACCTTGTCATTTACCTGTTGGATAGTTTGTCGTCTTTGGAGAAATGTTGTCTAGCCAGGTCCTTTTGTGTGTGTTTGTTTTTAGCTCTGGAAGTTATCTGAGCTCCTTATATGTTGTAAATGGCAAATCTTATCAGATCCATGATTCGCAAGGATTTCCTCCCAGTCTGCAGGCCACCTTGTATTTTGTTGATCACTTCCTCTATTGTGCAGAAACTCTTTAGCTTGATGTAATCTCACTTTTTTGCTTTTGTTATCTGAGCTTTTGGTGTGGTATCCCTCTCCCTCAACCTCCCATCCCCAAAAAATCATCGCCAAGGTCAATGTCAAGGAACTTGTTCCCTGTATTTTCTTTCTTTCTTTTTTTTTTTTTTTTTTTGATAGGCAGAGTGGACAGTGAGAAAGAGAGAGACAGAGAAAAAGGTCTTCCTTTGCCGTTGGTTCACCCTCCAATGGCCACTGCGGCCAGTGCACCGCGCTGATCTGATGGCAGGAGCCAGGTACTTCTCCTGGTCTCCCATGGGGTGCAGGGCCCAAGCACTTGGGCCATCCTCCACTGCACTCCCGGGCCACAGCAGAGAGCTGGCCTGGAAGAGGGGCAACCGGGACAGAATCCGGCGCCCCGACCGGGACTAGAACCTGGTGTGCCAGCGCCGCAAGGCGGAGGATTAGCCTAGTGAGCTGCGGCGCTGGCCAATGTTCCCTGTATTTTCTTTTGGGAGTTTTATGGTTTCAGGTCTTATGTTAGAGTCTTGAATCCATTCTGAGTTGACTTTGTGTGTGGTACAAGATCTAATTTCTTTTGCATGTAGCTATTCAGTTTTCCCAGCTCTGTTCTTTGAAGAGGCTGCCTCTCCCGTCTGTGATGTCTCCTTGGTATCCTTGTAAGTTAATTGACCTGACCATGAATGTTGGGTTTGTTCCAGGCCTTTCTGTTCTGTGTGATTTGTCTCTGTGTCTGGTTTATGAGTGTCATCCTATTTTGATTACTGTAATTGAAATCAGAAAGTGTGCAGCTTCCAGCTTCCTGCTTCTTTTTTGAGGCTGCTTTAGCTATTCACTATCCTTTGGGGTTCCAGACACATTTTAGAATTATTCTTTCTCTTTCTGTGAGATTGACATTAGAATTGTAAAAGGGGTTGGTTTCAATCTGTACATTGTTCCAGTCCATGAACATAGGCTATCTTTGCCTTTATTTGTGTCATGTTCAGTTTTTTATAATCAGTGTTTTATAATTTTCGGTGTGCAGCTCTTTCATCTCAGAATTTATTCTTAAGTATTTTATTCTTTACTAAGCTATTGTAAATGGGATTTTTTTTCTTGATTCTTTTTTGGGGGGGGGTAGTTTGTTAGTATACAGAAACACAACTGATTGTGGTGTGCTGATTTTGTATCCTGGAACTTCCTTGAATTTGTCTATTCTAATGCTTTTGTATGTGTGTAGTCCTTAGGGCTTTGTACATACAGGATCGTGTTATCTGCAAGCTGGGATGATTTGACGCCTTTCTTTCTGATTTGGGCGCCTTTGATTTCTTTTCCTTGTCTGATTTCTTGTGCTAGCACTTCCAGTGCTGTGCTGGACGTAAGTAGTCAGGGTGGGCGTGTTTCCTTGTGCTGGTCCTTAGAGCGCAAGGCCTCAGCTCTCTCACAGAGTTCCGTGCAGCTTGCAGCTTTGTCCTGCAGAGGGGTGCTGGCCTAAACTCCTTCCGAGTGACTGGCAGAAGAGGAACCTGGTAGTGGAAGACCCTGGGGAGAGACCCGAGCAAGCACCGTAGCTCCCAGGAGGCGGCTTGAAGACAGGGCTGGCCGCCGTGCGCCACGTTTTGAGGGCAGTAGTTAACGCTGCTTGGGGGAACAGGTTCTAAGAACATTGTAGTGACTGTGAACCTTCTGATACTTTCTGTGTTTGTGTAAAATGATTTTGGCCACACTAAAGTGAGTACTCAGGACCTGTGCCTGAATTTGTTGGCTTTCTGCAAGTCACTTTTTATATCTGAAATCAATTATGTGGCCTAACATTTGAAAGTTCAACTAGATTTCAGTTCATCCAGTTTATTTTTTTCTCTGTTCTAGAGGAACTTGCTGATTTAGAGCTAGTGACTTTGTGTGGAGTAATTGACTGATATTAACAATAATCTCTTTGTTTCTACAGAGGTTGCAGAACTTGAAGCTAATTTACCTTGTAAGTACAGCATCCCAATCAAACACTAAGTACTGTGGAGCAGTCACACAAGGGAAGCTTGTTTCATGTTCCGATCACCTTGTGTGGCAAAAACCGGTTCTTGCCAGGGGTGAATTCTCACTTGGTGAGGGGCACAGACTGTCGATGGGTCTCAGTGGAGGAAGGTCTGCAGTCCCTGGACGCAGCTCGTGGAGACACTGTCTCCTGCGCACAGAGCTGCATTCAGCTGGGTTCTGTGCTTGGCCACATCCCCCTTGAGTAAACAGGTATAAATCAATAACAGGCAGTCCTATTTTTGTCAGTGGCGATGCCACGTTTTTGGTCTAGAAAGTCTTTGTGTTTGAGGTGCGGCAGCTGCACTGCTTTGAAGTCAGCGGGTGCCCCCTGGGCTTGGTCTTCCCTGCCCAGGCTCACAGGCCCACCTCACCAGGCAGTGCCCTCGTGCCGTGTGTGCCACATTTTCTTGTTTTGTATCCTGAATCCTCTCCCGGGCCCTTAGTATTCCTAAGACCATCGAAATCTGAAAGTTTTGGCCGTTTAGTGCATTTTGAATTACAACTTTGTTGTCCTCATACTTGGTTTAAAAATAGTTGTGAGGCTGATGATACCTGTCCGTGTGAGTGAAATGCTTGCCGAGCCTCCTGATTGGGTGAATGCTACAGAGAACTCGGTTGTGATTGGAGGCCACCTGACATGGGGGAGGAGAGGCCCTGTCTCGTGGCCAGCTACCCTTGGGAAGATAATAGTGGGTTCCAGCCCTTACGTGGTTGCGGACTCTGTGGTGAGGGTAAGTATGTGTTGTTTTCTGCAAAATTATTAGTATGTAGTGTTTATGTATGGGTACAGTGTATTATGATATAAAATATACTTCTTATTTGATAGTCTCGGTTAAAAATGTCTTGAAAGTCTCTGGATTGTTTGACCTCAGAGTTTTCTTCAACCAAGAACTAAATGTGATGCCTGGGTCTCTATTTCAAAGTTGTCTCTCTTCCTACTCAAGTAGTTACAGATGAAATTATTGGTGGTAAAATGAGCAAGGAGAGGGGCCGGCGCCGCGGCTCACTAGGCTAATCCTCCGTCTAGCGGCGCCGGCACACCGGGTTCTAGTCCCGGTCGGGGCGCCGGATTCTGTCCCGGTTGCCCCTCTTCCAGGCCAGCCCTCTGCTGTGGCCAGGGAGTGCAGTGGAGGATGGCCCAGGTGCTTGGGCCCTGTACCCCATGGGAGACCAGGAAAAGCACCTGGCTCCTGGCTCCTGCCATCGGATCAGCGCGGTGCGCCGGCCGCAGCGCGCCAACCGCGGCGGCCATTGGAGGGTGAACCAACGGCAAAGGAAGACCTTTCTCTCTGTCTCTCTCTCTCACTGTCCACTCTGCCTGTCAAAAAAAAAAAAAAAAAAAAAAAAAAAGAGCAAGGAGAGGGGCCGGCGCAGTGGCAAAGTGGATTAACGCCCTGGCCTGGAGCGCCAGCATCCCATATGGGCGCCGGTTCTAGTCCTGGCTGCTCCACTTCTGACCCAGCTCTCTGCTGTGGCCTGGGAAAGCAGTAGAAGATGGCCCAAGTCCTTGGGCCCCTGCACCCACGTGGGAGGCCCAGAGAAGGCTCCTGGCTCCTGGCTTCGGATCTGCACAGCTCTGGCCATTGCGGTCAATTGGGGAGTGAACCATCGGATGGAAGACCTCTCTCTCTCTCTGCCTCTCCTTCTCTCTCTGTATAACTCTGACTTTCAAATAAATAAATAAAATATTTTAAAAAAAACAAAAATGAGCAAGGAGAACAAGCATGAGGTGGGACTGGCCCACTGCTGAGGCTGGGATGGGCTCAGTAGGCTTGCAGGACCGGCCCCCTGCTGAGGCTGGGATGGACTCAGTAGCCATGCAGGACTGGCCCCCTGCTGAGGCTGGGATGGGCCCGCTAACATGTCACACAACACGTGATATCACCTGTGCTGCCTGCTGTTGTCTGTCAGATTTTCCTCATCGAAGGTGAGAAGAAGGGACTCTTACTTCCTGCTGGCCCTGACGTGAGCATACATTCACGTGCAGACATTTAATCAAAGACCACAGACGAGCTCTCCCTGGTAAATGATTCATTTTGTTTTTCAAGGTGAATCTTAACACACGATTGATGGGTTTAACCCCTAGAGGAGATTAAACACAACACATTTCAAATCAGAATTTCACCGTGTACTGATGGCCCGTCCTCCCTGTGGCCGAGGCGGCAGTGTGCTGCGTGCCCTCTTCCTGCCTCGTCTCCTGTGGTGGGTTCGTGAGCCCACCCTGCTTCCTGGAAGTACGAGGCTCCGTGTTCGGAGAGGAAGCAGCCCCTCTGTCTCGCGATCTTTCTAAGTGTTCACAAAGGCTAGCCACACAGCAGCGCTGCTTGTGGCATTCAGAAGTAGTCTGGAGGCCGCACCTGCGAGTTTGTAGAGGTTTCTCATTTGCAACAGTTAAGTAACTCTTTCAGATAGACTGACATTATTAGAGTCTTAGATAGCCTATGCCTTTGTATAGAGAAAAAACTTAATTCTGAGTTTTAACTGAACTAAAATAAAAACCTAACTTTTAACTTTTTGCTTTTGGAGCTTAACCTTTCTTGGAAGCTTTGAAATTTTGATTCTTTTTTCCTGTAGCTTTCTAGTTTTTTAATCCACCTTGATAATGTCTTCATTCCTGTTTCAGAGGGGTTTGTTTGTTGATGGTGTAGATTTCAGCTAGTCACTGAAGCATTTACCCAACACTGGTTGCTTTTGTTACTTATATTTCATTAGAAAGATGCTTTTTTTATCTTTTCAAGTTAAAATTGGGGAAAATAAAGCCCTTTTAAAAATTTTTTTAAAATTTATTTGAAAGAGTTCTAGAGTGAGGGAGAGAGAGACAGAGATCCTCCATCTGCTGGTTCACTTCCCAGAGGCTGCAGTGTCCTGGCCTGGAGCAGACCAAAGCCAGGAGCCAGGAGCTTCCTCCAGGTCTTCCGTGTGGGTACAGGGACCCAAGCGCTTGGCCATCTTCTGCCTTTCTCAAGCCACTAGCAGGGAGCTGGATCAGAAGTGGAGCAGCCAGGACAGGAACTGGCACCCGTATGGGATGCTGGCACTGCAGGAGGCAGATTTACTTGCTGTGCCGCAATGCTGGCCTCCAGATTTTACTTTATTTCATTTTTAAAATTTTTTTTTTTATTTTTTATTTGACAGAGTTAGAGAGAGAGAGAGAGACAGAGACAGAGAGAAAGGTCTTCCTTCCATTGGTTCACTCCCTAAATGGCTGCTACGGCCAGTGCTGCGTCGATCTGAAGCCAGGAGCCAGGTGCCTCTTCCTGGTCTCCCATGCGGGTGCAGGGGCCCAAGCACTTGGGCCATCCTCCACTGCCTTCCCAGGCCACAGCAGAGAGCTGGACTGGAAGAGGAGCAACTGGGACTAGGACCGGTGCCCATATGGGATGCCGGCGCCTCAGGTGGAGGATTAACCTAATGCGCCACCGCACCGGCCCCAGACTTTATTTTTTAATTATTTGAAAGGCAGGGTGAGGATCTTCCGTCCAGCGGTTCAGACTCCAGGTGGCTGCACCATCCAGGCCTGGGCCGTGCCAGGAGCCTGGAGCTCCAGGTCTCCCACGTGGGTGCAGAGGCCCCAGGACTTGAGCCCTCTGCTGCTGCCCTCCTAGGCACATTAGCAGGGGCTGGATAGGAAGCGGAACAGCCGGGACATGGACCAGCAGTCCGATGTGGGATGCGGCTTAACCCACTGCTCCACAACATCAGCCCCAAATAGCTCTTTAGGTATTCCATGTACGTTTCTAAATGTATGGTTTGAGAGAAAGTCTTGCACGCTTTGGCTCCCGCCTTCTTTTTAAATTGATCAGTTGATTGGAGAGCGAGAGAGAGCCTCCCTGTGCTGGTTCGCTCCTCCGATGCCCTCAGCGCTCCCTGCGTGGGACCAAAGCTGGGAGCTCAGTCCAGCTCTCCTGCCTGGTGATGGCATCCCAGTTACTTGCACCATCTCCGCTGCCTCTAGGCTCTGCGTTGGCAGGAAGCTGGCAACAGGGGCAGAGCTGGGGTCAAACCTGGGCCCTCCAGTATGGGACACAGTTGTCTTCACCGTTGTTTTAACCGCTAGGCCAAACACCCACCCTGGCCCCTGATTTCTTTATTTCTGAACTAAGGACTATGAAGATGTAATCTCTAAGAGTGCTTGCTTTCCTTCCTTCCTTCCTTCCTTTCTTTTTCTTTCATCTTCCACCCGCTGTTTCACTCCCCCGGTAGCACAATACCCAGAGCTGGACCTGGCCACAGCTAGGAGCTTCTCTGGGTCATCTGGGTCTCCCATGTAGGTGGCAGGGGCCCGGCTACTTTTTTCTTCTAGTCTGAGCCATTGGGGGGTGAACCAACGGAAAAGGAAGACCTTTCTGTCTCTCTCTCTCACTGTCCACTCTGCCTGTCAAAAAAAAAAGTAAACTTACTGCAGTCGGTTAAGTTGCCACTTTTGAAGTTAGCATCTCACACTGGAGTGCCAGTTGGAGTTCCTGGCAATCTACTTATGTCCCACCCCTCGGCTGACATGCCTGGGAGAACAGCAGAAGCCAGCCCTAGTACTTGGGCCCCTGCCACCCATGTAGGAGACCTTGGGCCAAGTCTGGCTGTTGCGGCCATTTGGGGAATGGACCAGTGGGTGGAGGGTCTTTCTCATTCTCTCTCTCTCTCTCTCTCTCTTTTTTTTTAACACCCTCACATTGTTCTGCCTGTCAAATAAATAAATCGTTTTAAAAAGACCTAACACTATTTATTTATTTATTGACAGGCAGAGTTAGACAGTGAGAGAGACAGAGAGAAAGGTCTTCCTTCCATTGGTTCACCCCCCAAATGGCTGCTATGGCCGGCGCGCTGCGCCGATCTGAAGCCAGGAGCCAGGTGCTTCTCCTGGTCTCCCATGGGGTGCAGGGCCCAAGCACTTGGGCCATCCTCCACTGCACTCCCGGGCCACAGCAGAGAGCTGGACTGGAAGAGGGGCAACTAGGACAGAACCCGACGCTCCAACTGGAACTAGAACCCGGAGTGCCGGCGCCGCAGGCGGAGGATTAGCCTAACTCTTTAAACAGTAACAGACACATGATGCCGTGGAACAAATAATCAAAAGAATTGATATTCTTCTTACATTGGATTCACGTTTCATTTTTTCCAGATAATCAGTTATTTTAGCAGTTTAAGGAAAAATGCTAAAAATTTCATTGTGAGACATTGAGCCTTTTGGGAGCTCAGTTTTTGGAATCAAACAGACTTGAATTCTGTCACTTAGTTAGTTATTGTTTATTAGTTATCTATTGTCACAATTACTCCCCAGATTTATGTCTCAGAACAATAGACATTTCCCATTCCCTCGCCCACACAGTAGGCCTGCCTTAGTTCTGAGTGTCATCGTCAGTGTCTCCGCTGTCATCTCACTAGTGAGGAAGTGAGGCCTGCGAGATCGGCGGGAGTGGTGAACTGGTTACTAATCTGGGACTCGCCTCACTCCTGTGGATGACCGTGACCTTGGGCGAGTCCCCGAGCCTCTGTGTCCTCACTGAGGGTGTCTCTGAGGCCATTTCTGAGTCAAGAGTCGAATCGTTGTGTTTCTCATGAATGTTCAAATTGTAACACGAGGCAGACACACTCAGTGGGACGTGTCGGAACTAAAGGCAGCGGCAGGCTGAGGCATTTGTGCTTCCCGAGCGTGTGGACACACAGGAGAGCCGTACACTCCCTGCAGACTCCTTCCTCCGTGGTGGCTGCTGGTCTTCGTGTCCTCGTGTAAAGGAGGCACACGTGGCTGCACACCAGCAGCCAGAGCTGTCACCCGGGGCCTCTGCTCTGGTCTGGGCCCCCTCTGGCGGGAAGCTCGCCGTGTGAGTCAGCAGAGCATCCCGGCTGCGCAGCCAGTTCGCAGTCAGGTGGTGTGATGTTAAATTAGCGGGTCCCGTAAGCTGTGGGTTAAATTAGCGGGTCCTGGTAAGCTGTGGGTTAAATTAGCGGGTCCCGGTAAGCTGTGGGTTAAATTAGCGGGTCCCGGTAAGCTGTGGGTTAAATTAGCGGGTCCCGGTAAGCTGTGGGTTAAATTAGTGGGTCCCGGTAAGCTGTGGGTTAAATTAGCGGGGTCCTGGTAAGCTATGGGTGGGAGCCGGCATGGGCAGCAGCCTCCTTCCGCCTGCCTTTGCTGCGGGGGCAGGGGCGGGGGTGTCGCTCTGTCTCTGGTGCTTGGTGGACAACCAGAAGTTGGACCTGGGTTCTGTGCCCACATACATTCATCTTCCTGAGCTTTGTTTTCTTTTCTGTTAGGTGGCGTAAATTTATTTATTTATTTATTTTTTTTTTTTTTTTTGACAGTGGACAGTGAGAGAGACAGAGAGAAAGGTCTTTCTTTTCCGTTGGTTCACCCCGCAGTGGCCGCTGCGGCCGGCGCACCGCACTGATCCGAAGCCAGGAGCCAGGTGCTTCTCCTGGTCCCCCATGGGGTGCAGGGCCCAAGGACCTGGGCCATCCTCCACTGCACTCCCGGGCCACAGCAGAGAGCTGGCCTGGAAGAGGGGCAACCGGGACAGAATCCGGCACCCCAACCGGGACTAGAACCCGGGGTGCCGGTGCTGCAGGCGGAGGATTAGCCTGTTGAGCCGTAATTCTTGAACTAATAGAAAGACCTTTGTTTGTAGTGATCATTTAAAGGCTGAAGGAAAACATTTCAGTTTGGAATTAACTAGAGACTGTAATTAAAGCCATCTCCTCTTGGAATGAAGTGAGTCTGGGAGAAGGAACCTAGCCACTTTAGCGTAGCAGCATTTTGTTGGCAAACACCGACTGAGTCTGCGCAGGGGCGCGGTGTGTGCCGGGCTGACCTGTGCGCGGGGACGTCTGCTCGCTGCCACAGCCTCCTGACGCGCTGTTTCTTTTGCAGGTACCTGTAAAGTGCATTTCCCTGACCCAAACAAGCTGCACTGCTTCCAGCTCACTGTCACCCCAGGTAACACCCGACCTACGCGTCTAGGTGACTTTCAAGCCATCAGTTTTAAAGGCTGCCCGAATCTGTAATCTTTCGCTTGATTTGTCCTCTAGGTTTTTAAAAGGTAGGACATTACCATGAGTAATCATTCCATATAAAGACAAGTTTCGTGCTCGGTAGTTTAAAAAAGCCTGGCAAAGTGAATTTGAGGCCTTCAGCATGCACGCCAATAACCACATACAAACCGAAGCTGACCGCTGAGGCTGTGGCTGTGCAGTGAGCAGTGTGGGCGTCCTTCCCCCAACTTCGCAGCTGTGGGACCTTGGTTAAATTGTCCCCAAAGCGGGACCAGATGGCACCTGTGTCACAGGACACTTGGGAGGATGGAGTTGACGCTGCGTGTGCAGCGCTCACGTCCAGGGTCTCAGAACCAGCTCTCCTTGGCACTGAAGTGCCGCATCTCCAGGTCACCTTGGGAAGGCCACCTGTTCCTCCCCGGACAGACTCAGCAGAAGGGGGAGGGCATGTGCTTCTCTGCGCACAGTGCGGCTCCAGGAGTCACAGATTCACATGCTGTGTTGGCACTGGGAAGTGGGTGGCAGCCAGTGGGGGCTGCCGTGGGGCAGACGGGGCAGGAAAGACGGACAGCGGGCATTCACAGGACGGAAGGACGGACAGACAGTGGGCATTCACAGGACGGAAGGATGGACAGACAACGGGCATTCACAGGACGGAAGGACGGACAGCGGGCATTCGCAGGAAGGACGGACAGTGGATGTTCACAGGAAGGAAGGATGGACAGACAGTGGGCATTTACAGGACGGAAGGACGGACAGTGGGCATTCACAGGACGGAAGGACGGACAGACAACGGGCATTCACAGGACGGAAGGACGGACAGCGGCATTCACAGGACGGAAGGACGGACAGCGGGCATTCACAGGACGGAAGGACGGACAGACAACGGGCATTCACAGGACCGAAGGACAGACAGCGGGCATTCACAGGACGGAAGGACGGACAGCGGCATTCACAGGACGGAAGGACGGACAGCGGGCATTCACAGGAAGGACGGACGGATAGCGGGCATTCACAGGACGGAAGGACGGACAGACAGCGGGCATTCACAGGACGGAAGGACGGACAGCGGGCATTCACAGGAAGGACGGACGGCGGGCATTCGCAGGAAGGGAGGGGCTTTGTGGAGGAACAGCTGTGTCTCTCTTGGGAGAGGGGAACAGCTGAGAAACTGGGACTTGCGAGTCACAGCCGGTCAGCAATGGAGAACGTACAAGTTCCATCCGTGGTCATGAGCCCAGGACCAAGCCCTGGCCTGTTCTCCCTGTGGGTACGACGAGTTTCTCTAAGGAAGATGTTTTATAATGATGTCAAGAGAGAGCACATTTTCAAATGCACTTGAAAACTTAAAAAAAAAAAAACAACTTCTGTTTATCCATGTGGTGGTTTCCATCAAGGAGTCTAAGACGTGACTTAGTACGTCTGGTACCCATCCCTCTAGGAAGAGAGGGGTAGAACGTGGCTAAACTCAGTGGCATCGTAGGGACTGAGGTGTTCCGTGTGCCTGCGTCAGTGGATAAGCCAGGACTAAATTGTGACCCCAGGAAACGCGCAGCACCTTTGGGCCCTGCCCCAGAACACGCCGCACGTCCCGCTGCTCTGTGGAGTCCTGGGCACGCTGCTGTCTTGGTGACTTGAGGTGGTGCTGCAGCATCGTGCACTGGGCCGTTATTTGCAGAACTCAGAGCCGTGATTAAGACGGCTTCTGTGTGCCGACTAGCTGTGTTTACAGTGAGACGTTCTCCCCCTCCGCCCACTGAGCCTCTGTCATTCTGCACGGCCCCACTCACCGAGCTCTGCGGATTTCTCCAGGCTTGTTCCTGCGTGCTGGGTTTCTGTCAAGTCCCCCCTCTGGATAAGTGTTTCTTTTCTCCCTAGAATGTTTTCCTGAGGAGTCACATCAGTGTTAGGATTATTGGGATCATGTATGACAGTGACTTTGACGTTCTTGAAAATGGAGCATACTTGGTGCAGGGTTAGGGTTCACTGTTCCTTTCAGATTAAAAGGTGAGCTGTGTTTCGGTGCTTGTGTAGCGCTGAGTAACCGAGCGTTTGTGACATGTGCACTTGAGAGCGTTATTGTCACAGAGCCGTTTCCAGGTGGCTTTCTCACGCCGTCCGTAGGCCCTGCCTTTGTGGTGCCTGTGAGTGAGAAAGCTGTGGTGCTTCCTGCTCTTGGCTTTTAGAAGGGTGGCAGAGATCTGCCGGCCCTAAAACCTCGCCTAATATCATGGCTCTTAAAACAGCTTCTTGGGGTCATGCTTCTCTTAGTGCTGAAGAGAAAGAGATATTCCTGAGTAGTGAAGTTTTTTTTTTTTTTAATTTATTTATTTATTTGAAAGGCAGACTTACAGAGAGGCAGAGGCAGAGAGAGAGAGAGAGAGAGAGAGGTCTTCTATCCACCGGTTCACTCCCCAATGGTCCCAATGGCTGGGGCTGTGCCAATCCATAGCCAGGAGCTTCTTCCAGGTCTCCCATGTGGGTGCAGAGACCCAAGGACTTGGGCCATCTTCCGCTGCTTTCCCAGGCCACAGCAGAGAGCAGGATTGGAAGCGGAGCAGCCGGGACTCGAACCAGCGCCCCTAGGGGATGGCGGCACTGCAGGTGGCAGCTTTACCCACTACAGCGCAGCGCCGGCCCCAGGACTGGAGTTTTCGTAGTGTCTGAAGCAGATGGTTCTGGAGCTGCCGTTTGCAGCCAGTCGGGAACGCTGCAGCTCTGTCTGAAGCCGCAGCCCCTGGGGTCTGGGCGCCGCGTCTGCATTTTCAGCTCAAAGCCCTTTCCCCGCCCCGTCCCGTCCACGCAGGGAGCATTTCTGTGACTGTGTTTGTTTTTGGAATGGTCCCTCGTGCTTGGGAATAATTTCTCAGAGGAAAAAAAGTAGGAATATAATTTGGTGATAGATTAAAGAAGAGACCAGATTTGGCGGGGGTCTGGGGTGGGGTGAAAGTCTCCAGTCAACTCGCAAAGCAAGAAAAAGTATGAGTAAGGGAAATGAAACAAAACAAACTAAAACCTAAAGACTGGCCAAGATACCCATGGAGTTTTCTGTGAAGTTCCTGGGGCGGTTTGCAAAACCAGGCCAGTGCAGCAGGTGTCCTGGTCACTTGTCCCCTTGGCCTGCCCCACTGTGGTGGTAAAAGGACCTGGGACCATGGACTGAAAGAATAATGATTTTATTTATGTATTTTTTAAAAGATTTATTTATTTGAAAGTCAGAGTTACACAGAGAGGAAAGGCAGAGAGAGAGAGAGAGAGAGAGAGAGGAGTCTTCCATCCACTGGTTCATTCTCCAATTGGCCGCAATGGCTGGAGCTGCGCCGATCCCAAGTCAGGAGCCAGAAGTTTCTTCTGGGTCTCCCACGTGGATGCAGGGGCCCAAGGACTTGGGCCATCTTCTGCTGCTTTCCCAGACCACAGCAGAGAGCTGGATTGGAAGTGGAGCAGCCGCGTCTCGAACCAGTGCCCATATGGGATGCCAACACTGTGGGCGGCGGCTTTCCCACTATGCCACAGGCCAGCCCCAAGAGCCCCAGGAGCAATGATTTTAAAAAACTCGTCAAGTCTTGGGCCTAGTGCTGTGGCATAGAGGGTAAAGCTGCTGTCTGCAGCACTGACATCCCATAATGGGGCGCTGGTTCGAGTCCCAGCTACCCCGCTTTCAGTCACGCTTTCTGTTGGTTTGCCTGGGAGAACAGAGGAAGATGCCCAAGTGCTTGGACCCCTGCACCCACGTGGGGGACCTGAGTGAAGTTCCTGGCTCCTGGCTTTGGCCCAACCCAGCCTTGGCTGTTGAAGCCGTCCTGGAAGTGTACCAGAGGATAGAAGGTCGCTCTGCCTCTCCTCTGCCTCTGTCTCTCTCTGCCTCCTCACCCTGCCTGTAACTCTGCCTTTCAAATAAGTAAATAAATAAATCGTTTTTAAAGCTTCTAGAAAAAGTAAATGTAGCCCAGATCACAGGATAATCAATAGATTTCAAATCAATTATATTTTTATATAGCAGCAATAATTTATATTTTAAATGAGACAAAAAGAAACCCTACAGGTGGGTATTGGGCTTACTGGTTAACTTCTTTTTCTGGTTTGCTAAGAGGTTCTTTTGTTGTTGTAGATACTGTGGTTGTGGTTTTGTTTTATTTATTTGAGAGATAAATAGAGAGGACGCACGCTCCCCTTCATTAGTTTACCCCCCTAAAGCCCCCAGTGGCCAGGGCTGAGCTGGGCCAAAGCTGAGAGCCAGGAGCTCAGCCGAGGAGTGGGTGGCGGGAGGTGTCACGTGGGCCAGCAGGAAGCTGGGGTCCGGAGCTGGAGCCAGTGTGGAGCCCAAGCACTCTGACGTGAGGAGCAGGCGTCCTGACACCTGCTAGGCTGAGCACTTGCCCTGTGAATTGTTTTTTTATCATGAAGATGTTGATCATATGATTTTTTCTTTATTTTACAAATCTGATGAATTATATTGGTTGATTTTTGAGTGTTAAGCCAGATTTCTGCGATAAACCCTATTTGGTCAAGATGTGTCATCCTTTATTAAATTTTGCTTGGTTAAATTTATTAGAGAATTTTGTGTCCATGCTCATGAATAATGTTGATGTATAAATTTTCTTTTAATTTCTTTGTCTGATTTTGGCATAAGGGCAATCCTGGGCTTATGTGTCTTTTTCTTTATTTAAGAGATATAGGGTTATTCATCTGTTATGTTTCTTCTTAAATCAACTTTGGTAATTTTTTTCTGTCAAGGAATTTCTCCATTTCATGTAAATTGTAGGATTTATAGATATAAAGTTTGTTTGGAATATTCTCTTATTAACCTGCTAATGTCAGGCTTTACAGCCGTGTCTCCTTTTTCCTTGTTTCTATTAGTGATTTGGTGGTTTTTTTTTTCTTGATCATGTTAGCTAAAGGCTTATCTGACTGATTTTTAAAGAACTAGCTTTTAATTTTATC